CCCCGCGCCGCCGCCCCCAACCCCTAGGCTGAGCCGGAGGGAGGGACACAGAAGGGAGGGAGGCGGAAGGGAGGCCAGAAGGGAGGGGGCCGCGTGAAAGAGGCCGGCCGACCGAGACCGAGGGAGACCCAGCGGAGCGCACGCCCTGGAAAGAGAGAGCCGGAGAGTTCGGGAGGCAAGACCCCCAGAGACGAGAGTCGGAGGGATCAACGACACAGGTGAGAGAGGGGGCAGAGGGAGACGGCGTGGGCCAAACAAGAGTCGAGAGAGTGTGATGTGAGGGTACCAGGGACGCCACCGAGATGTGCACAGAGACCAAAAGAGGCGTGAGAGCCAGCGGGCTGTGACGTGACGGAGGGCACAGAGGCAGGCGGGGCAGAGGGAGGGGGCGGTAAAGAAAGGGGACAGCTAGAAAACGAGCGGCTTGATCGGCTTTTAGGTAGCCCCGGAAAGGTCGGGAGGAGGAGGGGCAAAGGCCGCGCTCCTCAGCTGGGAAGGAGGTGGTCCGAGCAGCCTCCAGTCCCGGGCTCAAGAACGCCAACCCGGCAAGGGTGAGGCAGCGTGCAGGGATGCAAGGGGCAGAGCGGTAGGGGCATTTGTGCACCCCGCCCACCTCTGCCTCAGTTTACCATGTACGGCCTCATTTCTCTCCGGGCTGCCGTGAGAGAAAAAAGTTCTCCAGCCGAGATTTGCTTGATTTGCAAATTCAAGTGATCCATGGACACAACCGTCTTGACAGCCCCCAGGAGGCTGTGGGCTGGTTACATCCCCCTAGTTAGAAAAGAAAAAGGATTCGAGGAGAAGGGAAGGATGCAGCTTTGTCTTCACCCAGCTTTGGAGTATCAAGAAACCGTTACTGGGCGGAGTGGGGCGAGGGGGCCACAGGCTGCTCTGAGAGTGTAAAGACCAAACCCTGGTGGGACCTGGCTCCATTGCGGAGCCTCAAAACTTCCAACATGATAGAGGAAGTTGGCAGTGCCTTCTCTAGATCTTTCTTTCTATCATTAGAGAGTATAAACCCAAGCCGTGGAGTGAACGACCCCAAAGCTACTCTACACTGAACTCCTCTCTTTGGTCCTGCCACTACTGGTGAAACCACTGACCCTTTCTGGGCCTCAGTTTCCTTACCTGTCCTGAGGAGATGCTGACACCTGGCTCCAGGGAGACTGTGAGAACTCAGTGAGGGAGTCCTGCACGCCGAGGGTCCTGCACCCTGGGAGCCCTTAGGTCTGTTTGGAGAGAAAACAGTTCCTCCAGGCAAGGGGGCAGAAGTGTCCCCAGGAGGTAGGGGGAGGAGTACCTGCCCTTCTCCTCCTTCTCAGGAATCACTGGTCCTACCTCCCAGCCCCATCCGCCATTGCCAGTCAGCGCCTGACGCACTGTGAGTGTCCTGGGCCACCCCGACTTCCTCTATGAGCTCCATGCGGGGCCTCAGTCTTCACCCCAGGTAACTAGAGCTTACCACACCTGTGGCCATGCCCCCCACCCAAGTTGAAGTCCTTTCTCCAGCGCCAGCTGCTGGTGGGGAGGCCTTCAGGCTGGCCCTCAGTCCCTGGCCCCTGCCCCAGACTCGGGGTGGGGGTGGGGGGCAGGTGGGGAGGACTAGGAAGTGGCCCAGATCCTTTGTCTGTAGGGCTTGGAGTGAGGACAAAGACTACCTTCTCTGGTAAGATCCCAATCCCAAGAGCCCACTGTCTCTCCTTCCCAGTTGTTGCATGACTTTCTGAACTCAGTTACCACTGGGACTGAAAGAAGGTGGCCTCAATGGCCGCCAGTTGCTTCAGACTCCCTCAATGAGTGGTGCTGTGAGCCTACATGGTTCTTTGGAAAGGGTGGAGAGGGCACCACTAAAAGCAACAGTATCCCACACTGAGCAGGCCACCTCGTGAGAGACCAAGAGACCAGGAAGCTGGCCCTGTCACTGTTGGCCAAGCAGCCACCGACATCCTACTTGGCAAATAGAAAAAAGCCAGTATCTCCTGGGAGGCCGGGGCAGCCATTCGGCTCCCCTCACCCATAGGTAGACTCAGAGAACCCTCCCTAGATGAGTGCAGTGGTATCACTCAATTCAACCATCTCCTTTCTCAGATGGGAAACTGAGGCCTAGAGAGAGGCAGGGCCTGGTGCAGGGACTACAGTGAGTAGGGCTGGTTTACTATTGCTCCTTGTACAGAGCCGTATCAAGCCCTTTTTCCCGACTTCCTCCCTCACCTCCCCCATCTTAGCAGGGCCCCTGCCCCCTCCTCACCCCCTGGCTTCTACTTCTCCCTAAGGGCATAGCCTAGTGGCGGTTTCTCCCTGAGTAGGCCCAGCTAGCCTCTGTCCCATCCCCTGTTATTTGGGCCCTAACAGAAGCCACCCAAATTTGAACCATCTCTGCCCCATGCTCAAGACCTGAGGGTCTCACATCCTCAAAATGGTCGCCAGATTCCAGATTCAAGGATCACACTGTTCATCAGCTGTCACTAAACTTATTTCACTACAAGCCATCCTCCTGGGATAGTTCCTTGGTCAGTTTGTGGGGGAGGGGTCATTTTCAGGATGGAGGCCTCATGTCTAGATTTTGGGGAGTCAGAAGACTAGTGCAGCCCAGCCCTCACCCCATTCCACAGGTGTACACCCCTAGCTCCTTGGACACTGACCAGGACCATTTCCTGCAGCCCCAGGCCAGCCTTGCAGCATGAGCAGAGGGCGGCTTTGGGAATGAGGCCCTGAGGGCTGGAAGGAGAATGCCCAGCGCCTAGGGAGCTTTGGGAGACCGCAGCTGGCTCCAGGGGCTGACAGAGCCAGGGTCCTGCCCCCGGTCGCCCAAAACACCTCCCTCGCAGGTCTGTCTCTGGCCCCCCTGGCTCCTGCTAGACGCAGCCTCCCCGTCACCCGACCCCAGGGCAAACCAGCAGATAAACCCCTTTTCGGCGAAAATTACACAAAACCGGCGGCGGCGGGGCCTCCTCTGCTCAGGCACTGCCGCGTTGGCGGCCGAAAAAAGAGGCTCCCAGAGAACGGGAACCCCCTCCCTGTCTAGGACACCGAGGCCGAGAGAGGGGAAGCCTCCTCCCCAGTGGGGTGCAGTCTGGGATCGCAGTCCCCACCCCAGGGGCGCAGCTGCCAGCCCGACGCCTGGGACATCCCCCCTCCCGAGGCCTCTAGCTGCCGCCGCGAAAATCCCGGAAACCGTCCCGCTCGCGGCGGGCGCAGTGGAAAAGGTGACCTCAGCGCCCCGGGCCAGCCGCCCTCCCTAGCAGCCGGGCGGCGAGGGGCTCCGGGCGGCAGGGGGTCCTCGGCGCCGCCCAGTCGTTGGATGAGGGCCCTCGGAGCGCAGAACCGGCCTCCTCCCCACCCATGTTCTGCCCCTCACACCCTACAGCCCCTTTGGAGGCTGCGGGACTGGGAGGGGACCACCTCATTCCCACAACCGAATCCCCTAAGCATTCAGGTGTAGGTTGCAGAACCGCCTCCTCTCCACCCACACACTTCTTCTACTCCAGCGCCTCCCAGACGGGACTGTGAAATGGCTCCGCGCGCGAAGGGGTCCGGGAGCCGTTCGTTGTACGAGGGGGAAGCTGAGTCTGGAAGAAGCACTCGGGGCGGGCTCAGCGGCCAACGGCCAGGGGATCGTGCATTGCTTGGAGGACGCTGGGCTCTCCTCCATCTGCCTCGGCCGTGGGCAGTTTGTTTCCGCTCCCACTTGCAGCGGGTCTGCATCTTAATTGGCAAAACGAAGTTGGGGCCGCGGTGGAGCGGGGGCTTCTTCCAGAACGGTCAGCTCACCTCCGGCTGCAGTCGTCCCAGCAGCCGCCTGCGGGGGGTCCCACGCCCTCTTACTGGTTGACGTCCAGCCCCTAGGGGCCCAGGTGGCCCCGGGCCACCTCATCTCGCGGCCTTCTGCTCCCGGCGCAGCCTTGCGCCCCCGCCGCCCAGCACACTGTCCGTCCCTGGGGACGCGTCACTAGCAAGGGGAATAGAGCTCGTTTCCACTTTTCTTTTCTTTTTCCTTTTCTTCTTCTTCTTTTTTTTTTTTTTTTTTACCTTTGGTTCTGATTGTCTAGGCTGTTGGTGCCGTGTTAGTGGTGCTGTTGGGACTGGGGCACCGGCCTTGGCCGCAGGTGTGCTGTGCCCGACAGAGGCCGCCTGGACCTCGCTCGGAACGCACCGTCCGGATGGGCTGCGGCGTTCGCCTTGCTTTTGCCCCGAGCAGAGACTGGCAATATCTTTCCTAGCTTCAAAACAGAAAATCTTGGAATTATAAAATTACCCCGTCCCCACGCTTACAGGTTTATCTCCTGGAGACCACCAACTCGCTTTCTCTTTGGAGAAGCCAGTCTCTGTGATGCTTTCTTCCATGAAAATTTCCTACTCAAATGTGGGCATTCGTTTTGAGTCATTTCAAAGCCCTAGAAGCTCGGGGTCAAATTGTGTTTGGGGTGACAGCGCCTTTAGACACATCCCTCTCTCTTTCGAAGCTCCACCTCTTGGAGCAATTTACAAATTTGTTCCTTTGGAATTCGCTACTTTATTTTTGTTTTGTAAGTTTTGTTGTTGATTTTTTTAAAATGTCTAATTTTCTATGGAAGTATGAGTTTAAATACATCCAACAGCCCAGCATAGTGGCAAGCGCCTGTAGTCCCAGCTTCTGGGCAGGTTGAGGTAGGAGGATTCCTTGAGCCCAACAGTTCGAAGCTGCAGTGAACTATGATTGCCCCACAGAACCAGCCTGGGCGACAGATCCAGACCCCGTCTCTTAACAAAAATAATAAATAAAAATAAAAGATAGATCCTTAGATAGGTAATAAAAAACTCGCTCCAGCGACCCGGAGATGACCCGGTTCTTGGTCTAGGAACCCGAGGTGATGCTCCTGGACATGCAGAGCTGCCAGCCCGCCGCTACCCTCCCAGCGTCCAGGGCCTGGAGGGTCCCGCCTCCATTTCACACCCACCGCTCTCCAGCCCCAGCGGCTCCCGCAGAGACCTTGCTTCGGAGTCCAGTTACACGAACCAGCGGCGCCTGAGGCCACACCCAGAGTCAGGAAGTAGCCGTCTGGGTGCCGGGGCTCGGTGAGGCCGGCCGCGAAGACCAGAGCTGCTGGGCGCCGGCTGCAAGGCCGGGTGGGGGCGGTGCTTGGGACCCGCACGGGTGCTCTCCCGCCGGCGAGTGTGGACCCTTCGAGAACGCTCCCTGGGCCCAGGTCTGACCCCCACGCGCGTGCAGCTTCGACCCTTCGAGGAGCATCAGGGTCGGTGCGGACCGATTACGCAGGCCCTCCCTGCCCCATCCGGGCTGGTGCCAGGCTGCAGCTCGAGACCTGGTTTCCACCCCAGACTCCCACAGAGCCCATGAAGCGTTGGTCACAGTCCCTGGAAGCCGCGGACCAGGCTCCTCTAGGAGCCTTCCCGACGTTCAGAGCCTGAGACCCCAGACAGCGGCGGCTTGCGCGGGCCAGAACGCGGCGAGGCGCCCGCGGAAACGGCTCGGCTTTTCTTTCTTTTCCCCTCCCTTTTCTTTTCTTTCATTATTTGCATTTTTTCCTCTTTCTTCCCTTCTTCCACCCATTTCCCCCTCCTCTTTCTTTTGTTTTTTAAGTCCTCCCCCCACCCCGTTTCTTTCTTTTATTGCTCGCTCATTCTCTCTCTTGTCTCCTCTTCTGCTCCCGCTCCCCGCCCCTTTCTGTTCCTTTTCATCAGAAGGACTGCCAAGTCACAGTCCCGTCCTCCTAATAAAAGAAGAGGCCTTCGTGCTCGCGGTGCCCACCAGGTGCCAGACGCTCTGAAGCTCTATCTAGTATGTTTAACAGGCACAGAGCTCTTGGAGGGTTCTACAGCCTGTGGAGGGGATGCGGGATTCTTTCCAGCTTGGGCAGGCTGGGGAGCTAGGCCTGGGATTGGGGAAGGGGTCTGGGCCCTGGCCCCTTAACCAGGTGAGATGGACCACAGCATCTCCTCCAGAATGTCTCCTGGTGGCAGGGAGGCCAGGCCAGATCACATTGCCCACGTTCCAGCAGGGACTTACACTTGCATCTGTCCTTCCTGACACAGGACTCTACTGTAGCTACCAGTCCTGGCTTCACCTGCCACCTCCCCACTCCACCACCCTGCCAGGACTGGAAGGGAGGGGGCTGGGCACTGCCTCCTCCAGCAGCACCTCCCACTGGGTGCTGCTTGGGAAGGGATGGAACAGGGGACATGGTGCTTCTTTTACAGACAAGAGTTCTGGGATCTAGGGGGGGAAAGGAGGCTACAGCCATACCACCCTTCAGATGCCAGGCAGGATCAGCCTCTGGTACCCTGGCTTCAAGACAGCCCTCCTGCCTCCTGCTGGTGTGAACTGACTGAAGATGACACACAGAGAGGATGGGGACAGGAGCTGGTGCCACCTCCACAGGCACTGGGCTTCCCTGGGCCCCTCTCCCTTGTCACACCTGTACTTTCTGCCTTGTCCCTGCCCCTGGGTGCCAGGAATGGGCTTACAAGCCCGGTTCCCACATGGTCAAATCCCACACATTTGCAGATAGGCAGAGCACACAGGGGACCTCGAGATGGTTTGCAGACATCTTCCTACTACTGCCCTTGAGCAAGCCCATTTCCTGTCCAAGCCTCAGTTTTCCCATATGAAAAAACAGGAGGGGGTTTTTAGGTGAATCTTTCTCCTTGCCAGTGTTAACAACTTAGGTCATGGATTGAAAAACTTTTTCTATAAAGGGCCAGATAAGCAAATGTTTCAGGCTTTGCAGGCCACATGGCCCTGTTTCGTGACTCAGCCCAGTCTTTGTAGTGTGAAAGTAGCCCTAGATAATGCATAAATGAGAGGGTATGGCTGTGTTCCAACCAACTTTATTTATAGATATGAAAATCTGAATTATATCTAATTTTCATGTCGCAAAATATGATTTTTTTTTCAACCACTTAAATATGTAAAAACCATTCTCAGTTTGCTGGCCAAGCAACAACAGGCAGTGGGCCACAGTTTACCAATTCTTGTGTAGTTTCAATTATTCTGATTGCACAAATATTGCACTTCCGTATCAGACATGTTGCCTTATGTTAACATTTTTTCTTCTAATTTCTTTTTTCCAGGAAAGGATCTGTTAGTTTACCAGTATTTGGGCCTTAGGAACACAGAATCACCTGGCTCATTTCCTACTCCCATTTCTGAGTTCTCAACAATTTAAGTGTTTCCCTTATTAATACCATACCCAGACACTGGATTGCACAACGTACAATCACCCTCTCACTTAATCCTTGCAACAGCCTTTGGAATAGAGATAGTTTACCCTGCCTTCCAGCTCCTTGCACACCCCTGGAGACAGGGCGCTCACTCCCTTCAGTGGCTGCCTAACAGACTGCTGAGAGCCTAGTGACCTAGGCTTGCAGCCCCTTAAGGGTGAAGGCCACCCCCGGGGAGAGTGCCTCTTCCCAGCCAGCCATTCCCAACCCCTGGCAATTCCATCTAAATCCTCTCCAGCTGTTGAAATATAGATGGACAGGGGGCCGT